ACTTTAGAAATAAAGATGTCGTAGATGAAAGTTAGAAAAAAAAAAGAGATTTTAATGACAGTTTAATTAGACTAAGATTATAAAAGCGAGCGCGAATCAGAGCGCAACATCTGACACAAAACAAAGCTACAAATTAATATTATGTATCACGTAAAATAAGTCCAGAGCATAACATTTATGTGCTAAATTATGTATGTTATGTCTCCTTCGGATAAATATAGGTCATCAAGTATTTTTATAGTGTGTTAAATGTAAGTGAGAGTAGAAAGATCTGAAACGGAGGCTTAGTATATAATTGATCATTATAAAATAATCGTGTTGAAAAATGAGAATCCCCACCACAGCGTTAAATCTAGAATCAGTGACTCCCAGTGTACATCTGGGCATCTTTTATAACAAGTATTGGTGGCTAAAATAACTTGTAGTGTCTTAATAACTTGTACTTAAAAGTCAATAGCCAGATATATTGTGGTTAGTGTTGAGGTGAGCTGCCTTTGTAACGTAATTGACTCCTTTCCAGCGAGAGGTCCTAACAAAGCTTAATTCTAAAACCCAAATATACGCTCAGCGAATTTCCACCACTACATATTGCTGTTCAAACTCAAACTCTCTTTGTTTCATTTTTTTTTAATTGTTTGAAATCGTCTTTTATCTAGTCTCTAAAGTCATAGATCAACACACACAATAGCAACAATCTCTGTTTTGTAAAACAGTAAGCAAAATAAATTAAATAATATAAACTTATACAAAATCTATGATATACCTGTGGCGATCTACAACTGCCCGTTGCCAAGGGATTGAGCCTTGTAAGAAGAAAGGGCAAACAAACCCATGGCCACTCTTTTGCAATTTACGGATAGTTACAATGGCTTCATTAAATATACCACAACATTGATTTGATGTATGCCAGTATGTCCGTTATTAAGGACTAAATTGTAAAAAGACAATTAAGAGAAAACAAGGTTAAGAAAAAAAACGAATAGAAACGAAAATGAAGTAAAACACAGAAAAACAAACACTAGCCCACACCACATTTTTACTTAAGAAATAGCCTGCGCTTAATTTATACCAAGCATTTTTATCTTCTATGTAATCCACAATTGAGTAACCGTTCGCGGCCCTAACCGTACAGCACTTGTATTATAAGATTAATAATTCATCCCATGGGTGTCGTACGAGGCGACAACAGCACTGCAAAGAGATTGAAAACTTGAAACAAACCCTATATCAACCCGTCTGGCCGGCGTGAAATGGTAGAACAAAACCTCATTTCTATGTCCAGCAGTAACCTATTAAAAGCTGTTGATGATGATGAAGATGATGATTATAAGTTTTATCAGTTTACGTGTATACATGTCGTTTACTTCTCAACCGACGACAGTAAGCTCGGGGAATATCTTCGATAAATTAAGAAAAGTATTACATTCACATATATATTTAAAGTCAAAATTCATGTTCAGGGTCTTTATGGTTTAAAGGTGACATGAATAATGAATATCCGCATCAAATGATATACGCATAGCTCAGTCAGCATTTACCAAGGTTTGAATATAGCCAAAACTATAAACACAGCACCTCCGTCGATATGGACTATATTAATATTTTCTACTATTTAATTGAAATTTATTTTAAAGGATTTGATTATATATACTGTAGGAGATATCAATTAATTCAAAGTATGTACATAGTAAAAGGAAATCATTGTTTTCTATTCAATAATATTGTCGGCTTTTAGTAAATTACATTCATCGGTAAGGGTGTCACTTAGTGAGTGATTCTATGGACTCCGATAAAAAAGAAAATAAATCTCGAGAGGGATTGCCAAATTAGGTCATTTTATCTTCGTTTAACTCGAGATCCGAGGCGATTTAGCTTCTGTCATCCATTTTTAAATTTTTTTTTTGCTCGGACAAAATAATTGGTTTATTATCAAGACTGATTCTGTACATTAATGTTATTGGAAGTAGAAGATTATTCGACTAATGATATTTTTTTATGATTGAATAGGATTTCATTTTAGTATCCATTTCGCGATAGATATTTGTCTCTCTTTTAAAGTTATAATTTATCAACCGCTTGCTGAAATTTGAATGCCGTTAAAAATAGTCTTACTCACGAAAGCCCTGATCAATGACGACGGCATAAACGAATGAATAAAACTAAGCTTGCTCATCTTCTTATTATCCATACTTATATTATACTCATAAATGTGAAAAATGCGTGTGTTTGTTTGTTACGCTTTCACGCCTAAATCACTAAATTTATTTCAAAAATTCTTTCACCACTGGAAAGCTACATTATCAGCGAGGAACATAGGCTACTTTTTACCGCGATAACGGACATACACGCTAGCGATGCCGCGGACAAAAGCTAGGGATTAAATTACAATATCAAATCAATAATACTACACAAACGCATAATAACCGAACTCACACAACTCGCACAATCGTAATTTAAACTTGAAATACGACGAATTGAGAATATCTATCAAAGGCAACGTCTGGTAAATAATTACTTAAGAAAATAAATCATAGGATTATTTATTTTAAATCAAATTAATTTAATCACATCCAATTGAAAATCGTGAAAATTAACAAACCATAGTGTTTCACCTTGGTTTACGTGGTAAATAGTAAGATATGGTAGACATGGTACATGACATACAATAGACTCAAGGTCAAAATAACTTGTCGTGTACAGATAAATTATTAAAAAAATATGTGCTAACTAAACAGCTATATTACTATAAATATATATATTACATAATCTTTTAAAGCTTAAGGCAAGAATGAATGTAATTTACTTTCACAAATAACTAATTAAGTATAATTATATTTGTAAAAATATATTGGAGAATACCGAATTCGACTCCTCGCCGCTTCCTACTGCGGTGAGTGATGTGGGCTCGAGCCCCATATGGGACAACAGTTTGTGTGACCCACATATTTTACTGTGTTGTGTTGTTCTGAGTCTATGTGTTCTTTGTGTCCGTCTCATGAATTTTTGTAAAGTCCTCCGGTACACAGGACATGTGTCTATTGCGTGCATTCTCTTTAAAAAAGAATTGATGAATTGATACTAATATGATGGTTATTTATTTTGTGTATCATTGCAGTCGCTACTTTGATGGCTGTTGAATAAAAATGTTATATAAAGTTGTTCTGTATTTATTATTCAACCTCTAGATACATAATTATAAATAAAACAATGTCACTGAATGTCATTTGTCAATTTATTCACAGACAAAAATAAGTGTAAATGTATAGTAACAGACTGGTTACAAAATCTTGACTACAGAGCCACGGAAAAATGATTAAAGTAGTAGAAATACACGCACACAATCCAGCGCATACTACCAACAGCCATACACACACACATACATACGCTCATACACATGTACTGACCCTATTCTCCCATTCTCACACAAGGTTTAATTATTATTTATTTTATCTTTGTTGTTTAGCTTATCCTTTTAGAGCAATTATGTATTTGCTTTACATTAATTGTTGAAAAAATAAAAAACTCACATGTAACTCACATGATGACGTGCAGTCAGGATAGCATAGTGGTTTAAGCGGTCGCCACGCCGCTTACTACTACGCTGACTGTTGTGGGTCCGATCCCTACATGGGACGACACTTTGTGTGATCCATAAATTGTTGTTCTGAGTCTGGGTGTTCTTTGTATCCGTTTCATGTATGTTTGTAAACACACAGTGGCACGGGATATATTCCTAATGCGGGAGTTGTCTTTTTATAAAGAAAAGAGAAAGACTGTGGGGTGGGGGACCTGCTGATCTGTAATTCAGGATGAACCCTCTTTCAGACACCAGCCCCTCACATATATTAGATTAGACTGCACAATAAATATCCTAAGTGTTCTTCACTATTTTGTGTATAAGTCTTTATTGTAAGGAGAAATAAACGTTATTATTATTATTTTACTAACCCAGTCATATCATCTGTGTTATCCACAAGTCTATAATAAAATGATGAATTGGGTAATAAAGAAAATTAGTGGTTGCACATTAAATCGTGGCTGGAGGGCGGAAGCCACCGGAGTTAGCTTAGGTCATGGCTGCGCTCACGCAACGTCAAAGTCGGCCTTTAAAACAGAGTTTTTATATCCTGACCATATCTGGTGAAGACACTATATGACGATTTGATATTTTAATTTCAATTTTAAGAAAATACGTCGACTCTTCTTCAATTTACATTTAAGTAGTGTCGACAAATGAATATAAATATTGTATAGACATTTGATATAATATAATAATTAAAACTAAGGTAATGTCTTAGTTTTAATTGTTATCAATAATGAGGACAATCATGTCATAAATTTCACATTTAATTAAGTGAACGTTTATATCATTAGTGACTATCACGTGGAAATTAAAACAGTTTTACGTAACAAAAGTATCCATTGTCCGTGGACTTGCTTACACTCACGCTATGGCTTCGAACGTTACTAGTTCGCAAACTCTCGCAAAATAATCAAAATACTCAGCTGAAATTCTTTGCTAGTATATTATGACATCGCTTTAAACTATTTAATTAAAATTGTTATTTGCAATCCGCGACATCTGAGGGAAACAATTGTGACGTGTTTTACACATATTATCTCAGAGCATTTTAATTAATGTAAATAGATGAATGGTTTTACTAATGTTAATTTTTTTGTTATTTAATTCAGGTATCCCTGGGGAAAAGTACTATTTTTGTAAACTCCCTAAACTAACTCTGTCTGTGAACGTTACATTCGAACGATACGACGTAGGGTCACCCTAAAATGTGTATGCAAAATTTTATGATGGTGACTTGGGTAGTTAAGGCGGTAAAATGTACGTAACATTCGTATTTATTTTGTATTCGATTAATTTGTTTCGATTGCGCGATTCGATTGTTAATATGCAACCCACAAACACAATATGATATACGAGCATATACTCGAATATAATTTGATTTGATGAGAAACTTTCAATATTTTTTTAATTGTTACAGGTACGAGGTCGTTTACGAATTTGCTAAAACATCGCAACTTTAGAGGTAATGCAACATTTTAAATAAGTAACAACAAGAAGCTTGTAGCTTTAATTTAAAATGTAGTTATTTAGATAAGTTTCAATTTATGTACGCTCACAGTTAAAACTTCGAAAACTAGAAGTTAAAATCGGTTTACTCAAAAAATAACCATACCTATAATTCATTTTTGTTTACATTTGCAGTGGCATTGTAGTAATTATAGTAGATAATAATTTTAATGAAAACTTTATAGTGAAACTATCAAATATTACCTTCAACGCCAACTTCTTTCAATTTCGTTTCTTAATGCAAATACTTTGTAACTAAGCCAGCCCTCTGGCCAGCCGGGTATGGTATGACAAAACCTCCTTAGGAGAGACTGTTGGTCATGATTGATTAGGCCAGTCACCAACAATACTCAGGTAAAGTCAGTACTCGCACGAATACGAATTAAGAATATTAACTTATGTCGTGTGTTTTTAGTTGTATGTTACAAATAAAATGCTTACAGCTACTCCCCGAACACGCCTTAATCAGAAAATATTAAACCATTTCCGAACTTTGTCATATTAACCCGAAAAGTTATATTTTTAGTAAACATTGTGAGTAAGGCGGAGAACCCCTAAAAGGTGCCTTCCTACACCATTACCTTTTCAGTAGTCACTGGGGATATAACAAAACGGCTCACGGTAAATATAGGTATAGTGCTTAGAGGAGAACATCAATCAAAATTATTATGTACCTTTTATTTTCGAACTTGAAATAGTGAGTATTGATAAGTTATAATTTTGTTCTCAGGATTGTCGAAGAATATGGACGATAAATCATGCTTATTGAGGAGTTGGAAATGAAACAAAAAACAAGAAAGAAAGAGATAAAACATTACGAGACGAAGGCAATTTTATAGCCATAACATTTACCAAAGTCATATGATGTAAATGTCTATCAGTGCAACTGTCATATCGTAAAGGCATATCTGGTGAACATTGTAAAATACGAATACATATCTCATTATTTTATGCTAGTCACCCTTTTGTGATTATAGATAGAAACAATTTTGCTCAAAATAGATTTTTTTAGTTTAAACATTCTAGATATTAATGAACATAAGACTAAAATATTGAAATTTCGAGAAATGTATTGAGTGAATCAAATAGACTTAGCACTTTTGTCTTGTATAGTAGTGATATACTATGAAATACTACAGCATGTTTTTCCTACGGAGGCGGACTTTGATCTTAAAAGCCATTCTGGTACTCACTGCGATTTGGTTTATGGTCGCACTGCTGACTACTAATGGCGGTTCGAGAAACGCCATTGGTGCCCCACCGATAGAATATGAAGATGCTGAGGCGAAACCGCTGAAAATGGCAAAGCCAACTGCAACGAAGAGGAAGAGCGAATCATACGGCAATAACCTATCCGATGGTAAGTATTTTTTAATACATGAAATTGCATGGGCTTGCACGGTGAAGGTACACCATCTGCTGTCAAATATAGCATAATAGCCTTATATATATTTTTATAGTGCCGTCTATTGATACCAACTTAAGTATTATAATGATTTTTCAATGAGCATTATAGAGTTGTAAAATATTGGTATATTTGTAGAAGAAAACCTTTTACAATTTATTTCTCAGGTTGCATCTCTTGAGACCTTACAAAAAGGAAAAAATCTCAGTAGACGTTTACTTCTTTTATTCGATTCGTAAACCACAGTTCAAACAGAATCACATAAGTAACATTGCTATTGGAATTTAAATTATATAAATAATAAATTATTTAGTACTATTTTAACGTTTCCTGTGAATTTCCTAATAGTATTTGAAATGAAAATAATATTTTAAACTAAATATTACATACAAGTTAAATGTATCACAAGTAGGAAAGGTTTCTTCTTGCCGGTATAAACGTCAATTCTTTACGAAAGAAGTGCTTAAATTAGTATCAATATTTTACTGTACATTATAAGCATCGACAAGAAAGGGTTTGAAGAATAGTCATGCTAATAGACAATAGTGATATAGTTTTTACTACACCGAAGGCCTTAAACATGCACCAATTTACAATGCCCTGACATAAGTTACAACAATGGCAACAATCACTGTAACTGCACATAATTTTAATAAGTAGCTTTATCATGTGTCGGTTGTCATTGACCTGTCTCAAGTGATAGTCACCATAGAATAATCAATCATGCAAATTTATTACACTGTATTAAATTAGATTTGTGATGCATTCAAATGTTTTATTTTTTATCTGCACGTTAAAAAATGTGTGTAATTAGGGGCATCCCTTATTTCAACATCTTGCATGATAATGTGCGTTTGTCCGTCACAGCACGAACGCGGGTCGATTGGATCGGTCGCATAATGGGACAAGAAGGTAATTTTAAAGGCCTTTCTTTATGTGTATCATAATTTGAATACTTCATATTTATTTTTATCATTATTTCAATTCTGTCTTAGTACTTATGGTCGTTAGTGTACCTGTCAAGTAATTTAATCTATTGTACACCTATCTGTCATTTATATCATATAATGGTTGTTGTGGATATTGTTTTTTTTTTGTAGAATTAAACTAGTCATTAAACTAATTTGCTTACCTGTGCTAACCCTACTAATAATAAAATCATAACTAACATTTAAGTACATATTGTTCTTTCTAATCTTCCATCGATTTTTTTGTCATTTTCTTAAGAAGTTATTAGTATACCTGTTTACCATAGTTACATATTTTAATAAAATCAAGTTAAAAATGGCAAAGTCAGTAGAAATAAGGATGTAGGCTAAAATAGTTGACACCCCGCAGGCCTTGGCGTTTTAGCTGCTCCTGGATCGGACAATGCACCCGGTGAACTGGGAAAACCGGTTGTTCTACCGAAGAACATTAGTGAAGAAACGAAGCTAGCAGTTCAAGAGGGGTGGAAAAAGAACGCTTTTAACCAATACGTCAGTGACCTGATATCTGTTAAAAGAAAGCTACCTGACCCCAGGGACGAATGGTAAGAAAATCATGTGAAATCCTTATAACACGTCAGTTGAGGTATAACGAGAAATATACTCTAGGGATTGGTATTTCCTCATATAAATCCTTTTCTTTCTTATCATATCGTAGTAAATATTTTGCAGAACGAGGAAAAGAAAATAATATTTTTATTATATGAGTACTGTCGTGTATAACAACAGGAGTTATGATTTACATGAATACATCAACTATAAAAGAATGAACGGTTCTAATTCAAAATGTTTACTATTACAGTAAACAGTATGATAATTATAGTGAATGAAATAATGATAAATGAAAAGTAGTGAAAATTTTATTCTAGTAGTTCCTTGTCTTGATTTAAAATATTTTATAAAATAATAATAATTTCTCCAGGTGTAAACAACCCGGTCTGTATTTGGAAAACCTGCCGCAGACGTCAGTAGTTATTTGTTTCCACAATGAAGCGTGGTCCGTATTGCTTAGGACCGTACATTCAGTGCTTGATAAGTCGCCCCCGCATTTGATTAAGGAAATTATCCTTGTCGATGACTTTTCTGATATGCGTAAGTATCATCTAACTGGTATACCACAATTATTTAATTTGTCAGAAGTATTTAATGTTAATATCATAGATACAAGCATGTAAACAAAAAAACATTGCAATGTATGTTACAGCACACCTAATGCAGCAGTTGGACGATTACATGTCATCACTACCTAAAGTACGAATAGTCAGAGCTACTCGTCGTGAAGGCCTGATCAGAGCACGACTTCTTGGTGCTAGATTTGTTACGGCGCCTGTTTTAACCTATCTTGATAGCCACTGCGAGTGCACAGAAGGTATGATTATATTATATTGGTTTGGCTCAAAATTACCTTATAATGAGAAGTCATTATAACCTTCGTTATTTCCTTTCAGGATGGCTCGAACCATTATTAGATAGAATCGCCCGCAATAAAACTACAGTCGTCTGCCCTGTAATTGATGTCATTGATGACAATACATTAGAGTACCATTATAGGGATTCATCTTCAGTCAATGTTGGTGGTTTTGACTGGAATCTCCAGTTCAATTGGCATCCAGTACCGGCAAAAGAAAAAGCAAGACACCAGCATACTGCTGAACCTGTATGGTCTCCGACTATGGCTGGGGGGCTATTCGCCATCGATAAGGACTTCTTTGAAAAACTTGGAACATATGACAGCGGTTTTGACATTTGGGGTGGTGAAAATTTAGAGCTTTCATTTAAAACTTGGATGTGCGGCGGAACTCTCGAAATAGTTCCATGCTCTCACGTTGGTCATATATTCAGAAAACGTTCGCCGTACAAATGGCGAACAGGTGTTAACGTGCTAAAGAAAAATTCTGTACGATTGGCAGAGGTGAAATATTTAATGGCTTTATATTTATTTATTTACTGCACTACCTTAACAACTGTTAAAAGTATTTTCTGATTATGACTGGTTTTAGGTATGGTTGGACGACTATGCAAAATATTACTACCAACGTGTTGGTAACGAAAAAGGTGATTACGGTGATATAAGTGGCCGGAAAAAATTGAGAGAGGACTTAGGATGCAAGTCTTTTGAGTGGTATCTAAAGAATATTTATCCTGAATTGTTCATCCCTGGCGAGTCCGTTGCTCATGGCGAGGTACGTTCGTTTTATTTATATACGTTTTATTTTAATAAGATAGTAGTGGTAAATTACATTGTTTAAACTCATAATCATAATGAAAAAATTTTGTTTATGAAATACTTATCTGCAGTATGAGTGCAAATTAATTGAAGGTTTCTTCAAAATTATTACCTATACAGATTCGAAATGTCGGCTTCCAAAAGATATGTTTGGACTCTCCAACCCGCAAGTCAGATCATCATAAGCCAGTCGGACTTTACCCGTGTCATCGGCAGGGAGGAAATCAGGTCTTCTGTCGATCTTATTTTGACCGACTGCGGCAGTACCACTTTCTTTCACTTTCTTTTCTTTATTTTGGTCCATTCAGTTTTCGATTATTGCACTCCATGCACGTTGAAAAGCACGGTTTTTATTTTAAGCACGTACAGTCAATGTTTGCATTTGTTTTTATGACTACCAATGATAGATTCAAAACAATGAGTATGGCCATTTCTGCATTGATGGTGTGACAGTACAAGACGGCGCGAAAGAAGATGAAATACCATTTGCCAAAGCAGCCATGTGCCATGGAAGTGGTGGCAACCAGGTACTCCTTATGAGACAAAAGGGTGTTGTTTGATATTGGGCTGGAATTCATTTATTTGTTTTAATGGTATAAACGGTTGTTATGACTGTTAATGTTGTGAAATTCATAAGGAATGTTACGTATTTTCCATCGTCAATTTTATAACCGTCGTTAATGTTCTTCATCTTCATTATCACTATAAACCAAGGTCATCATTGAATATTATTCCACCTTTATTTGTTAAAAAAGACACTGAAATGTATAAAATGATGACGTTGGACTAGCACGCTTGCTTTTGGCACGCCTTTTTTAACTAATGGATGGCATCAGATCGCGAATGCTGATTCGGAAATGTGCCTCGACTCCTCTGCGAGCCCTGAAGATATGAAGAAACCAGTCAACGTATGGCCTTGTCACGGGGAATATGGAAACCAGGTTTGTCTTAAGGCCGCAAAATTTTTCATTTCATCGCTTTTGCTTTTCCTTTAGTTGGTGTTGGTTCTCATCGTCATTGATATTTGGGTAAGTTTGGTAGTCTGTAGTAAGCTTTCAATCTTGAAATGGGACTGCAATAATGTAGCTTTCACATATATTACGAAGTAGTAATTGTAATCAAACGCTCCCGTGTTATATCTCTTCCTTTTAAATGACACACCAATGCTCTGTCATCCAATACATTCGTAAACTTGCTTTATTATGCAATAAAAAGTTTTGATAACTTTTAGTAATATATGTGAATACTGAACAGATCCAAACAACTTCAAAAATAAAAGAAATTGCCCTCTACTATTTAGTAAGGGTAGAATTTAGCCGTATTATTTAGCAAGTTTCGTAATTTTAAATTTTATTCCTCAAAGTTGGTACTGCCGCTAGGTAAATTATATTCTAAATAGCTTTTTATTACTTCCGATCATTATATAAATTATAATTCATCATTATAGATGTTTTTCGTAGTAATATTTACAAATACTATACTATGATAAGTTTTAAAAAGCTAATTAGTGAACAAGTTTTTATCTTTTAATGGCTTTATATTATATATTTTTTTCCGAAAAGCTATAAAACCAATAACTTTATTTTACTAAGTAACTATTAATTAATTTTATTTATATGTACTCGTATATGGGTTTATATAAATGGTTTTGGTTTATGGGCCAAGTGGTGTATAATTATATATTATCACATCGTATATATGATAAATATATAACATTTTGTTATTGATATAAAAAAATTATATACCTAATTTATTTTTTGAGGATGATCAATAAAACACCAATGTTAATTTGTAGTCCGTTTCCCGCTCTCTTTAGAACCCTCATGAATAAGAGTTTACATTACGGTACAGCTTTCATTTGGCTTTAGCGTAGAAATTTATACATCTAAATCATCTCCTGAGTTGCAGGCGTTCATGGGTGGCTTTAGTCACTTTCCATCAGGTGACCCGCCTGCTTGTCTGCCCCCTCTTCCATAAGAAAAGTAAAATAAAAATAAATTCAACTTTTTTGTAATATTTGATAGGCATTAATTACAATATAATTGCTATTATATCTACTAGTCCATCCGACGAGTTGCACTAACTCAGTTTTAAACACAAAGAAAATATGTGAAAAAGATAAAGATGCAAATAGATCTAAAGTTACCAAAAATCATCAATAATCAGATAGTACATCTATTATTTAAATAAATCCAAAGAAAAAGTGACACGTCGGAAGTATTCCAGTGTACTTTGTCCAATTGTTTATTTTCTCTTTAGCAGTTGCTTATGAACGTAACTATGCATTATTAGCAAGGTAACATTTTTAAACGTGTTATTAGAAAATATATACATTTTCTATTTGAAGTTATATAAAAAGAACTTCGTATTTAGATTAAAATAATTGTATTTATAATAAATAACATTTATTGTAAATGATGGAATTAAAACTTTAACCTTGGGTGATATAATATGACAAATTATACATACCAGATTCAATATTTCAGCCCTCGGTACCTTGAACAACTAATTCTTAGCGTTATTATAATGTTCGTAAGTGACGTTCACCTTCTTTATATTATTTTCTGTATTTGTTAATTCATTAGTTACTTTACACCACTGAGCTATCTAAAAAAGAAAATAAAAGAATTGTTAGACTATAAATCAATGATCGTCGTGTGGCATGATGAACTTCTTGCATTTCAATAAAGATACTATAAGATTATAGAAGAAAAATGGATTCAGACAAAGTTAAATTTTAATACAACAAATATATTATATATATTAATAAGATTAGGCTTGAGATATTGGGTTTAGATAAGAACTTTGTTTTGCCTTTTTTTATTACATGTTACATTATAAATTTAAATCCCAATTCGTATTATGTTTATTGTAAGATATTTTAACACATAAACATTTATGATTAACACTCCAACACGCGACTAATCAGCATTTTGCCACTTTCAGTTATTTATTTTTATAGTTAAATTAAGGACTAATCTTGTTTTATAAAATTTTGTAACGATTGGTCGACATACAATTAGTCTATGTAATGAATTAGCCAACTTAAATGCTCGTAGTTGTGGTAATTGAAATTTCAATTTTAATAGGTCAACAATCAAGTTAGCTTAGGATCTAGCTCTCACCGATTGATGAACATCGATAGTGTGATATTAAAATAAAGTGACCATTTTCGGCTTTTATCCTTTACTTGTCCCATGGAACCTTGCTTTACAAAATATTTTACGATTTAAAGTTAATAAGAATTACTCCATAGGTTCGTTTTACTTCTTAAAGATAACGTTAAAATTGATTCCATTGATTAAGAAGTCCGGACAAAAAAAGTTTTTACCAACAGATAGATAACAAAGTGATTGAGTGATTCTTTATAGTCCTGTTGCCGTTTTGGGGTACGAAACCCTAAAAAAAAACTTGTACCATTAATACTTATCTAGTAATAACAACACACATAATACTCTAGTACTGGTAAATAGAGAGCTGAAAACAAAGAACAGAAAACACAGGCTTTGGAGAAAACATTTTACATATTGCAGTATTGTGAACTGTGAGCATATGTAATATTTCTTCAAACAAACTCATAAGTTGCTTAGTGCAAATGGACGGTAAAACGACTTTGACTGCAATACGTCCCAAGCTTACTTGCCTTTCCGGTAATATGGTCGGCGAAGAGTTTATCGGCCATTATTGTTACATTGACTAACCGTTATTTGGCCAATTGTTTACTTACATGTAAATAGATAGTTTTGTAAGCCCTTTTCTGAAACTCATTACTTTTGTTACAGTTTTCATTTACTACACTGTTGTAATCACACTTTGATTAAAACAAAAAACAAAGACAACAAAATTTTCTACCTGTAATTATAAATATACCTAGATATTAATACAGATTTTTTTCATACTTTAGGAAATAAGCAGGCCATTCACATGCCGACATATTACGATATCGATTCAACACACACATTCAAATTTTGTAATTAATTATAATTTTATAATTATAGTGATTTTTAAATGGTTTCCAAATTAATATTGGTGATTTTAATAATAATGTAAATAAGACAGAATTATTGTTTTATTCTATACAAATATCTAAGTAATTCATGTAAGCTATGAGAACAAATCCAAACTGAATAATAAGTTTGTAACATGAAATGATTAATTTTTCAGTACTGGATGTACTCCAAAAATGGAGAAATTCGACGAGATGAGACATGTTTAGACTATTCTGGGCATGACGTTGTCTTATATCCTTGCCATGGGGCTAAAGGAAATCAGCTTTGGCTCTATGATGCTCGAGTAAGTATTTATGGATCTCCTCACAAACAGTAATGTTCATACACAACAAGTAAACAGATACGTGCGTAATACGTAATTATTTCATTAGATAACTATGTAACTAGGTTTTTTGGTTACCCGACATATCTGAAAATGGTGGGCAGTAAATAAGTCCTAGACTCTCTTTGATGTAAATATACATTTTATGTATATGGGAAGCAGATTGAGTTTAGTTCGTAGCTTTTATATAGTTACTAAATGAAAACTTTAATGTTATCTTCTATTAAATTTATTAAACTCAATGTTATTTTATTATTTACAATTATATTTATGTCTAACTATTTTTACAGACAAAGTTATTAAAACACGGTTCGAGTGAGAAGTGCATGGCGATAAATCGAACTAAGGAGAAAATAGTAATGGAGACCTGCAACGAGAACGAGGGCAGGCAAATGTGGAATATGGAGAACTTTAACGCCGACAGATTATCCCCAGAGCTAACTGCCGAGTAGCCGGAGGCTTATGATGAAGTGCTGTTCATATAAACGGCAAAGACTGTGAGGACCTACTTACATTATTGTGACTTAGTGATAATTCAAATGGTTCACTTGTTGTCTGACGCAATGAATGCTTTGTAGCTAAACGTATATTTTATTGTACAATAATAGTTGGAATACGGTGGAGTATGAGTAGTTGATAAGCTTTTCACTATGGCGTACAGGCTTTGTAACTTTGTCATATGAACCCCGATAGAATGTGGCCTATACATGAATGATGTGTTGGGTTAGTTAGATTAGATGCCATTTGTTCAGTTCCTACTGTTGTTTGCTACTTGAAATATAACGGAAAGCACTATGAGTGATACATTCGGCTTGAGAGTCAAGAAATGTGTAAATGGTGCTTGCTTGTTTTTATCTGATTGTTGATATTTATGACTGAAAGAATATATTTATGTGAACGTCACGGAAATCGGCAGTTTTGAGTTATTTTTGATTTTATGCAACAAGTGTTGTATAATAGTGTTTAATCGATATCTTATCTAAATACATATCTTGAATGAAATCTTGAATCATTTACCGATGATTTGGTCTAGAATGAATGTTCATTGCTGTCTTTTTGTGGAGTTTAAAGTGTTTTATGTAAAAAGTTTTAATAGTATTCTTTATCGAGTATTAACTTACTGGTTAGAATTTAGTATACATTTTAACTGTACATATCTTCAATATTTGTATGCTTCTACATATTAATAGTGTTTAAAGAAATAAGTGACTGAATATGTAAAAAAATTACACATTCCTTGACAATCCTAGATCAACTGTGGATGTGTGCGTCATTTAAACTGTAATGACTCATTAACGTAAATTACTTTAATGTGATTTTTTAACGACATATTTGAAATTATAATTAGTTGTTTTGATATACGCCGTAGTTTATAAAAAATAGTGAAATTGTATAATAAAATGATAAATTTGTTATTAAATAAGTAAATATTTTTGTACACATAAGTTTCTGAGCGAATTTATTTTGAATCACTTTCTTCATTAAAATTATTGTGTAGTAGCCTGTTTATGTTTTATTAAGTAAGTAGAGACTACTAAATATGAAATTGCATGTCAAAGAAGGCAGTTGGCAAGGTTATACTAACTTCCCTATAGTTTGACCTGCATTTCCCTATAAATTAGATTGCATATAGTTTTGAAGGCCTAATTTTACACATTTCTTCATCATTAAATTTCATTATCATTAAAATATCAACTTTTTTTTTGTTAATTAAATTCCAATTAATTTAATTCGTTAGGGAGTTCGAAAGAGTTCTTGTTTCGTGTATTAGCAATAGTATATAGCGTTTTTTTTTGTAACATACACGTGTCGTATGTTTTTTAAATTAACACAAATTTAATATACTGCCGAATTGTCTTCCTTAATGTTTATGTTTTTTGTATCCACTTTATTGTTTTTAAACCTTTATCGACAGTTTAGAGTTACGTAAACTTGACTGAAATTAATTTTGTAATCATAATATCAGTTGATACGATGTTACAGAGTAAAGAAAAGTATTGGGGCATAACAAAATATTAGATCTTTCCTTCGTCAGCCACATAAAAGTTTATCTAGAACCGACAACGCTACGGTAACCTTAATCTGGATTTATTCGTACTCAACTTGTTACTGAAGTTATTTAAAAATATTTTTGAAAAATTTGTTAATAATTACTATTAAATGTATATTTTTAGAGTAGAAACAGACTTTTAGACTTTGTTGTTATCTAAAATTACAGAAAGGTTGAATGTTGAAGAATAAAAATTTATGAAACTCAACACGTGCAGTTCAAAATATTTAACTAATCATTAAATTAGACCAGCGATATATTTTAAAGATTAGAAAAATTGTGTAAAAACGTCTTATCTTATATTGACTTATCATAGTCAGTAATAAAAGCATTCGTAAATAGATTAATATCTTGGCAAATCCAAATTTCATGATTATTATGTAAATATCTAATCAGAAAATCTAAAATTGTGTCACGGTTATCGGAATTTGACTTGTAAAAAATTTAATCCAAAAATAAATTGATTTTGTAAATTTATTTGTTATCTAATTGATTAATAAACGTTTTTCATTGTAAAATTAATTATAAAGTAAATTTTACACTTATAAACGATAAATCCATGCATCCACAAGTGTATAGGTAGTGAATATTAGTGTTAACTATAAATAGATATGTAATAAGATGTTTTAATGTGCCTTATAACTTTACATAATTATTGAATGTTGAAAATTTCTGTATATATTGCGGTGTCTCCAAATGTAATTATACTAGGTATGTACTTTAGTTTAGACGGCGATTAAATAGGTAGTATTTGTAAAATAAAGCATTATGTTGGATTTGTATGCGTGAGTTTTATTGTGCCGACTATATAATTTAAACTGTTTCTTGTTTTATATCTCAAATCATCGCTCCAATAAAAGTAATAATTATTTTATTGAAACTATAATTTTGCTTTCCGCAGCTTACGCAGCTTTTTCCATAAACCACTTATTTTGGAATAAAGATTCAGTACCTTTCTACTAGTATTAGTTTAGTACACGCAGAATTACATATTAAAATGATTATGATGAAATAACGACATTTAAAATACAAAGCAGAGAAAAAATAAATAATAATAATAAAAAAATAAAAAATAGTGCAATAAACTTAAATGTCAATTATGTCGGAATGCGGTTTGTGTGGATTGAATCATTTTTGCTTCGTCTGCCCGACGTGGTATAGTTGTATACGTTAGTCAGACGGGTGCTATAGGATTTGTGTCAAGATTTCCTTCTCATTGCAGTGCGTAGTTTACGCCCTTAGTCGGCTTACTTTTTTGCTTAAATCAGTTCAATTCACAATATTTTGAACAAGCTTAATTCTGATACTTAGAAATGGAAATAGATTTTATTATCGAATGATGTCATAGTAGGTTATAGAAAAAAGATAACGTTAGTATACCTGATATAGAAGATGGTTGAACTAATTACCATCTTCTATAATTATAAGGTATACTAACGTTATTCTGTCAGGTATACTGACAGAGAAAATGGTAATTAGTTCAACAACAAGAGAATAATACATGTACTCATTACTAAAAAATAACTTCAGAATTTAATGTTTTTGAAGTAACGGCTTGCCTACATTTAGTCATTTCGATTTTGAAATAGCCATTAAATCTTCTTGATTTTCAACAACAAAGAGGGTTTAATGCAATAAATAAAAAAAAAAACAGTATTCATCAAGAATGAATGCATGGAATTTAAAGCTGTAGTAGAGAAAATCCTGAGAGGCCTGGCGGGGTTTCCGTTTCTTTAAGAAATGTATAGTTGCTGCAAATTCTTCACGATAGTAGATATGCTGCTATCACAGTCATTAACTTTATATTACTGAGATGTAATAAGGTTCGGTTGAGTACCAGACGATTACGAGTAATTACTGCTCTGATCCACAATTACAATTGAATAAAATAACACCAAAAAAAAACTATACAAAATATAGAATTAGTGGATACAATAAGTCCATAGTGCACGTAAACTTTGGGATATTACCATAAAGGAGCATACTTCTGAATAATATAGGTAACGGAACTGCAACACATCACCCAGCACCCCAATCTGCACAGAACCCCTGTCACGAGCACTAAGGTATATTACTGAAATCGTATCGTTTGGTCCATCAATAAATTTATTCTCATGCAACGAAAAAGCCTTTCTTAATGCATCAGGGAGTTACATTGAGACGTTGTCAGTTGCCAGTACTGTATGAATAATATCACAATACTTTGTTGCGAAAATAATATTATTTACTAACTCCTTTAAAAAGACAAAAAAAAAGAATTCTATATGATTTATTACATTAAGTACATATATTGATTTTTACTGTACAAGTTTATTCTTATTTCCAATCTATTTCACTAATTGAATAAATGAAATGATTGCTATTCTAACAGTGACTTGCTGTGCATAATATTATTCTTCTATTTTTTATTTTATATTAGGGCAGGTTTAATTGTACCAAATTTTATTATTTACTTTATAGATTTGAATAAACCGTATTTATATCCAAATGTATAACTATTTTACAATATTAATTATTATATTTACTTTTTTCCGTAAGCATTAAGATGTATGTAAATAATAAAATGTAAAATAAAAATCTGTAAGTGGAAGTTTCTACTACAAAAGAGATTAAACCAACAATATTATTTCGTAAAAAACATATTTTAGGAATATATCCTATGTCGCGGGGGACTTTACAAACATACATGAAACGAATACGAAGAACACCCAGACTGATAACAACAATTGGTGGATCACACAAAGTGTCGTCCCATGTGGGGATCGGACCTACAACACTCAGCGTAGTAGTGAGCGGCGTGGCGACCGCTTAAACCACTACGCCATCCGTGCAGCCATACTAAGTCTAGTACCTATGTTTAACTCAAATTCTGAATATAATACTTTCAATAGTTTGGTATATCAAATAGTTAAACAATGACTGTATTTAGATCTCACGGTCATCACTTCAATCTTAGAAGTTTCGCTGCCTTGAAAAAGTTTGAACATTATAGGAAAATATGGAGTATCACCACCCCTCTTCATCACGCGGGTATCGTTAAGAGTGGACTAAGGGAGCTAACTACGCCCTATACCAACCCGTTTTGCCAGCATGGTATAGTAGGCTAAAACCTCCTTTCTAAGGAGAGGACTATGTCTAACAGTGGACTATTAAAGGCTGTGGATGATGGATGGATGATGCTAATGTATTCTAATTGCGCCTGTTGACTTATTTGGACAAAATTTTTGATTTTATCCATCTTTTATGTCGATTTTTTTTGGATAAAATTCATATATAAGAGCAATATGAGTATCTATTATGTAAAAACCTAACCGCCTTACCTATACCGCTTTGTAGAATGCTAAAACATTTCAAACGCACTCAAAATGCTAACAAACCAGCCGACTTTAAACCTAGCACGAT